GGTATGCAGGGGTACATGGGGGTATTAAACTACAACTCCAAACACATGTATGAAAATGGAACTAGCCCCACAACATTTTAATTCAATTTTCAGTATGTGATCAAAAGAGGATGAGCAAAACAAAATGCAAGATATATTAAGATTTACACCATTGGTGAGAGCTCAAACATGGCTAAAGCCATGGAAGCCATAACTGGCAGTTGAGAAAGAAAGCAGAAGAAATTGTGTGATTTAGTAAAATGAGAACTCACACTCTTCTTTGATTATTGACTGAGTATTTATACATGTGAGTATGTAACTAACTAACTAACTAACAGAACATTCTAGAGATTAGACTATCTAACTAACTCTGACACATGAGCTAACTAACTCCAATACGTACAACAAACTAACTACAACTACTGATTACAATGCTTTACTAATTACAATACTAATTACAGATATATTAATAATCTTCAACACCCCTCCTCAAGTTGGTAGTGATGATTTCGCAGCCAACTTGTCCAAAATAGCTGAATGTTTCACACCTGTCAGAGCCTTAGTAAGTATATCAGCCAGTTGATCAGTAGTAGATATATGATGCAAAGAAATGAGCCCCTGCTGAAGTTTGTTTCTCACAAAATGACAATCCACCTCAATGTGCTTGGTTCTCTCATGGAATACAGGGTTATGGGCTATATGTATGGCAGACTGGCTATCACAGTATACATCAATAGGAGATGGATTGATAATGGTCAAGTCATTGAGTAACCTGTGCAGCCAAGCTAATTCTCCAACTACCTTCCTTAATGATCTGTACTCTGCCTCAGCTGATGACAAGGAAATAGTCTCATGTTTCTTTGATTTCCAGCTGATAGGACTGTTCCCAAGTAAAATTAAATATCCACTAACTGACCTTTTTGAATCTGGACAGGAGGCCCAGTCTGAGTCACAGTAAGCCTGTATAGTGCAATCAGGATCATTGGATAGATACACTCCTAGAGTGGGATCCTGCTTCAAATATCTGAGAAGGTGGAAGGCTGCCTTGAGATGAGCATCTCTGGGATCTTGCATAAATTGGCTCAACTGTTGGACACTAAAGGCTAAGTCAAGTCTAGTATTGGTTAGGAAATTTAGTTTTCCAACTAACTTCCTATAAAAAGTGGGATCAGGCAGTGGAGTTCCTTCTTTGGCTCTTAGTTTAACAGTGGGATCAAGAGGTGAGGTCAAATGAGCATAATTGAAACAATCATATTCCTTTAACAAGTCCAGGACAAATTTCCTTTGAGAAATAAGTACCCTTCCTGCTGTGTCAAGTATCTCCAAGCCTGGAAAATAGTGAAGTTTGCCAAGATCTTTAATCTTGAATGTGTTGTCCAAATAAGTCTTGAGTTGTGTGATCTCATCAGTGTCTGTGCCTGTCAAAATAACATAATCTACATAGACAGCTACAAACACTATCAAAGAACCTGATCTCTTGGAAAACAATGAGTAATCATAGTGTGAATGTGTATAGCCCCTAAGAGCCAAGGCTTCAGTCAACTTAGCATACCACTGTCTGCTAGCTTGCTTAAGTCCATAGAGGGGCTTGTTAAGCTTGCAAACCAACCTTGTGTTCTGTACCTCCAGACCTGGTGGAACCTTCATATACACTTCCTCATGGAGATCACCATGAAGGAATGCATTATTGACATCAAGTTGGGACATAGGCCAGCCTTTCTTTACAGCACATGCTATTAAAGTTCTGACAGTAGTCATCTTGACTACAGGTGAGTATGTTTCTGTATAGTCTATCCCAGCTTGTTGTGTGTATCCTTTCACAACCAACCTAGCTTTAAATCTTTCAATGCTCCCATCTGCTCTATGTTTAACTTTATACACCCACTTACATCTAATTGCTTGCTTTCCCACTGGTAATTCAACAAGATCCCAAGTGTTGTTAGCATAAAGTGCCTCAAACTCCTGTGTCATAGCCTTTTGCCAAGCAGGGCTGAAGGACGCCTCCTCATATGATGATGGTTCACTATCATGACAAACATTTTCAACAAGCATTTGACTGTGAGATGCAATGACATTAGGAGATATGTGATGGTGTTTGGTGAATAAGGCAGTGAGGGAAAGGTTGGTGGCAGGATTGGGATTCTTTAGAGTAGGGATAGAGATAATGTAATCTTTTAAGTGATGAGGAACTTTGTTTTCCCTATTAGATCTTCTCTGATTTATTATAGGGACAGTGACTTGTGAAGGTGATGGTTGGTCATGTAATGATGAATGTGGATGATCAATGGGAAGAAGAGGTGGTGATTGAGGATGCTCCCTGATGGGTGATGAGTTAGTGTTTAAATCAAGGTCATACCCTTTATCATTTACATCAATGTCATAAAACCCAGAATCAGTATAACCACTAGGATTAGGACCAGATGACATAGACTCAACAGACCTTAAAGTAGAAGGAAAAGTGCATTTTTCAACAGGCAAAGTAAAAGGAAAAATATCCTCATGAAAGACCACATCTCTGGAAACATGTATTCTTTTTGTGGCAAGACTCATTACCTTGTACCCTTTTGTGCCAAAAGGATATCCCATAAATATGTGAGGAGTGGTTCTGGGCTCAAGTTTGTCTCTTAACGTCTTAGGCACAATAGGGTAACACAGACATCCAAAGGATCTGAGCTGAGCATAATTTGGCTTCTGATTATATAGCAGTTCATAAGGACATTTGTTCTTCTTGGAATGTGTTGAGGGTAGTTTGTTTATAATGTGAGTAGCCGTCAAAACACATTCCCCCCAATATTTCAAAGGTAGTTTAGATTGGAAAAGGAGGGCTCTAGCTGTTTCCAGTAGGTATTTGTGTTTTCTTTCCACCACACTATTTTGTTGTGGGGTGTATGGACAACTTTTCTGATGGATTATACCCTTGTTTATGAAAAATTGGATTGCTTCATTAATGGTGAATTCCAATCCATTATCAGACCTGATGCATTTAACAGTGGTTTTGAATTGGTTTTCTACCATGTGTATGAAAGCTTTCAATACATGCAAAGCATTACTTTTGGTGCTTAGCAGGTGAGTCCAAGTGGATCTACTATAGTCATCCACCAGGGTAAGAAAGTATTTGCAATTGTCATAGGTGGACACATGGTATGGACCCCATAAATCAACATGGAGCAACTCAAATATGAACTTGGTTTGGCTAGTGCTTTGGCTGAAAGGCAACCTCTCTTGTCTTGCCATAGGGCATATGGAGCATAGGAAGGGTTGTTTTTGGGAAAGAATGGTTGGAAGGGTGGAGATATTTCTCATCTTAGCAAAAGGTACATGGCCAAGTCTATTATGCCACAACAAGTCTACATTGTTCTTTGCAATCTTACAAGAGTGATTATCAAACTGAATATTCTCATTATTGTTGGAAGTAGAAGTACATACAAGTGGACTATGATTTATTGCATATCATTCGTCTATTGAATAAAATTAAATCTCAACCCAATATGTAGAAATCTCATGTCTAGGATTAGAGAAATCAAGGATTGTATTGATGATTATAATGTTGAGTTACAAGCTCCTTGTATAGGAGAAGAGTCCTATTCTAGTTATACTAGGAATCCTACTACAACACAATTAATTACATGAGTAGTATTGTATTACAAGTCAAATACCTTATCCTAGTCGACTCCTACAATATTAAGTAGCTTAGTCGTACATAACTTAGGATTTAGTAGTCTAGTCCTAGTATGACTAACTCTAACTCGCCAGCCTGCTTCGATGGACCTATTCCTTCGACATGTTCCATCAGTCTTCAAGCTTCCTTAAACACTTCCCCTCAAGCTAGTGAGTGGAGGAACTGTAACTCCTAGCTTGCTGCAAAAACCAGAGAAAACCTATTTTGTTAAGGCTTTGGTATGAATATCAGCTAGTTGATCCTTAGACTTCATAAACTGAGTAAGAAGTTGTCCCCTGGCCACTTTCTCACGAACAAAATGATAGTCCATTTCAACATGTTTGGTTCTAGCATGCATAACTAGATTAACTGTCATGTACAAGGCACCCATATTATCACAATACAACGTAGGAATATATCGAAGGAACACTCCAAGGTCATGAAGAAGATACACAATCCAAGTCCTTTCTGCGATAGTGGAGGCTAGTGCTCTATACTCAGCTTCAGCACTTGATCGGGCTACTGTGGTCTGTTTCTTAGAGGTCCAAGAAATACAATTTGCACCTAGGCAGATGCTATAGCCTGTAGTTGATCTCCTAGTTGTGGTACAACCTCCCCAATCAGCATCTGAGTAGCCATACAACCTACATGGTGATTGTGAAATAATTTTGAGTCCAAAGTGTAGAGTACCATTGATGTACCTGAGAATCCTTTTTACCCTTCGAAGATGTTCAATGTTTGGGCTTTGCATAAACTGACTTGCTAGATTCACAGCATGAGTGCTATCAGGTCTTGTGAGGGTCAAATATTGAAGGCTCCCTACTATCATTCGACATGTTCCATCAGTCTTCAAGCTTCCTTCAACACAATGCCCATTACATTTTCCCCTAACGACTCATATCCATAGCCCTGAAATTAAAGTTTGACTTTGTATCGTATAGTTTGATCTCTTTTGGGAAATAAAATTAAACTATTGCATGACTTGTGATTGAGGGGTAAATTTCAGAAGAAATCATACTTTTTTTAAAAATAATCACTTTTTCTCCATCAGCAAGTTTTTCAAAAATATCAGTGTGGTTGTACATATTGTGGTAGGCTTGCGATGCTATTTGTGTCAAAAAAAAAAATCAGTGTGTGGTTTTTCAAAAAGTGCAATGGTTTTAGCTTGACTTGAAATAACATATATTATTCCTCAAACGGCTACATAAATAGCAACACCAATGAAGCTATGCAGGGGTATTAAATTATGAAGTTGTAACAACTCCAAACAGATCCTATTTGTTGAATATTGATTAAAGAGAATGACAACATAATTAATAATGGTGATAGAAATACAACAATATTGTAAAACAACTACCTATAATTAACCAACATTCCTGCACCAAATACTCTTGATGGGTGTAACAACATTGTCCAAGAGAAAATAGTAACAACAAAACATCAATGCCTCTATCATCTTAAACCATGCTTTTCTCCAATAACGATTGAAGCAGAGCGCTGTAGCTAATCCCAACAAGATTGCTCCAAAAGACACAACAAAGCCAATGTAAAAACACTGAATATCCTCCAATTCTGATGATTCCTCATCTCCATTAATCTTGGAGGTATTGGACAATTTAGGACTCATCCCACACTTGTTGTCTAATGGATAACTGCAAAGAAACGGATTTCCCTCGTAGCTGCTTTTGTCAAAAGTTGCAAATTGAGCTTTAAAATCAGGCACTGCACCGGATAAGTTATTGTATGCAACACTGAATACTGCCAAAGAATTTAGCTCAAGTAGACCAAAAGGAATGCTCCCATTCAATCTGTTGTAGGAAAGGTCTAAACTCTCAATTTCTTGTAGATTGGAGAAGGTATTTGGTATTCTTCCGATGAGATGGTTGTGTGATAGATTCAATGCAGGTATATTGCTCATCTTCCCTAGCTCAACGGGAATTTCACCAGTTAATCTGTTACTTGAGAGATCAATACCCGACATATATTTCAGAATGCTTCCCTTATAAGTGTATGAGTTTCTTTTCGTTGAAAACTGGACTTGAGTTTCCACATCCATCAAAAATATGTCACTTAGAATTCCATGATTATCGTGGTAGTGCCTTTTCAAACGTATCCAGTGCAAAAAATTTAACCATGAACGCTTTGAAGTCGTAGCATAATTGGTCTTACTTATCTTTGAATCCTTTTTGTCTTGTGTTAAGTAGCTCAAACAAGGAAGGAGTGGACCATAAAGCTTATTGAAAGATAAATCCACAATAGATAACTTTTTCAGCATACAAATCTGATTTGGAATCTCTCCTTCCAATTGGTTATTACTTAGGAGAAGGTAGTTGAGAGTATTAAGCGAGCCTATGGTGTGTGGGATATTTCCTGTAAAATTGTTGTACCCAAGATCCAAAGTTATCAGAGAAGAGAAGTTGAAAAGTACATGTCCCAATTCACCACCCAATTGATTTTTCTCCAGATGGATGTGTTCGAGAGGTAAAGAATTCACACAAGAAGGAATAAAGCCTGAAAGCCTGTTTTCGGATATAGCTAAGACCTGAATGAGCTTTAAATTGCAAATCTCAACTGGAATTGAACCTTTGAGATGATTCTTGGACAAATCAAGTTGTAACAATCTTGTATTATCCCTAATGCATCTCGGAATCTCTCCAGAGAAATTGTTGTTGCTAGCATCCAATACAATAAGGGATGTGATAAACATGTTGCTAGGTAGTGGTCCCTCCAAGTTATTTCCATTCAAGAACAAAAATAATAACATCCTTGGTTTGACATCCTTCGGAAAAATTTGACCTTTTAACTTGTTATGTGACAATCGAAGGTAAACTAATGCTGGAGATTGAATTGCCAGATCACTAGGAACTCCTGCACATAAGAAATTGTGAGATAGGTCTAGATTATGTAAATGAATGCCACTAATCTTGGAAGGTATAGGACCTTCAAGATAATTTTGTGACATGTTCAAATAAGTAAGCTTTGGGAATGCTGAATTCATATTATCTGGAATATGCCCATTTAATTTGTTATTAGAAACATCAATTGTCTCAAGATGGAGGTGACAACTCGATGGCAACTTGAATGGTCCGCTGAAAGCATTATCTCTACTATAAATCCCAGCAAGTCTGGTGTTATTTTCTAACAACCATGTTGGAAAGATCCCTGACAATTGATTTCCTTCAATAGCAAGAATCCTCAAGTCATATTGGTAGTGAAGGAAAGAAGGCAATTTTTGAAGGTTTTTACATCCGTCGATAGCAAAAAACTCCAACTGGAAATTTGGGATCCAATTTTGGAATTCGGTATCTGGAATTATTGCATTAGAACCAACATTGAAGTAGATCAATTTTGTATTGTTGGAAAATTGGTTGAATGACAGAGGAACTTCAAATTGGTTATCCGCAATATTCAGGTACTCAAGTGATGTGAGTCTCCTCCAAATAGAATGTGACCCTATATTTCCCTTGAAGTAATTCCTAGGAAAACTCAATCGTCGAAGTGATGTCAAGTTTCCAAAACATGAAGGCAGTGTTCCCCGAAAATTGTTGTCTGAAAAATCCAGCTCTTGAATGTGTTTGAGTTCACACCAGCCTATATTAAGAAACATTTAGCTAAAACAAATATCTATAATAAGTGACATCTTATTATATTTTTTTATGTCTATGGATGTGTTGGATACGAAGGAAAATATTTTCTAGGAAAATAGGTGGCTTGTGTTACTTATTTTCTTGTGTTTGGTAATAAACAAAAAAATATTATAATGTTTGATCAACTGAACATGCTAAAATCAGACCTCCAACATGAAAATGTGGGGATTAGGGAAAAATGAGAAAAATAGGGTACCTTGATTAGGGAGGGTGCCATCATTGTCACCAAAAGCTATACTGAACACCAAGAGAGAGGTCATTTGTCCAATGTTTGGGAGAAAGTTGTCATTTAGAGAACATCCCTCCAAGTATAGGTACTCCATCGTGCTCAAATTTCTTAATGCTTACATAATAGAGTCCAAAAAAAAGAAAAGAAAAATAAATTCACATTTCAAACGAAAAGAGTGGCGATAGAAGTAAGCTAAGGTATATATGAATTTGAGCTTACCGTAAATTATGGTTGGAGAAGTGAGATCACTATGTTCATAAGAAAGTGACTTAAGAGATGAGAATGGTTTTAGGGACTGTATGACTCTGCTAGAGTTGGAGTAGGAACTTCCCAATAGTAAATTCCGCAGAGAACTCATTATTTTGTTACCTGTTAAATGGTGAATATATAAATCATATACATTTTAAAATAAGAATGAATAGTTCAATCTTATTAAAGTCTAATTTGTATACCACAATTTTCAATCAAAAAATTTACATACCAACGGCACATGGTTATTCAAATCAAGTCCGTAGAGATGCATTTTATTCTGTAGGATGTGTTAAGGTTAAAATAAAGCATTCAACATTAGAGCAACTGCATTGATTCGTGTACCTTTGGTAGTCACAAAGCTCTCTATATTGTTATACGAGAGATCCAGATGTTCCAAATTGCTCAAATCAATTATATCTACACAGGTTAATCAAAAATAAACTTTAATTTGATATGCGAAATAAAATTCAGATATTTAGTGAGGAAGACTTGGATGGGAAGTGGCACGTAACAAACCATTCATTTCGATATTTCCATTTATTTCATTCCAGGCGAGATTGAGATGCTTGAGAGACGGAAAAATCTTGAGTGATGAAAAGATGGTGGAATTGAAGTCATTATCATTCAATATGAGTTTCTCTAAATTCCTCAGTCCACTATTTCCACCAACACCTGCATTTGATTTATGAAAAGTAAGAGACCGTACTTGGTGTTAATTGTTTTCTCTTGTGAAATTTGCTATTTTGCTACTTTGTTAAAGGGAACTTACCCAACACAGAAAGGATATCGATGTCATTGATTCCATAACCTTCAAACCAGAGTTCTCTTAAATTGCTTAGCCCTCCACATTTCTTACCCATGCCTTCATCCAAAAATTACAACTACGTACTGAGTAAATTATTGTCCAAAGATGGCTTTATGGACTATAGAGTAGGAGGATATAGAATATACTGCTATTATATGTGGCTACGCTGAAAGAGGTATCAACATCTGCACCAAGTTTTAGAACCTCAAGAGATGAAATCCAACATAAAGATGATAGTAACACTTTTGGATGGATTGGATTAAATTGCAAATCTAGTATTTTCAGGTTAGGCAGCTGCTTTAGTTTACTGAAACCTGGATGACAAAATCAGACCAAAAAACACATGTTAGTAATATATATAGTTTCATTTTTCAAGAGTGATGAATATATTCCATACAAGATCGATCAGACCTTCATTTTTTGTCCACCCTATAATATTTCTGTAAGACAATAAAAGAACTTGGAGGGACTTGAATGGAAGAAAGAGAGAGGCATTAAATCTCCAACCATCCCCTGTGCCAAAATTTGTTTTGAGATCGAGTTTGATCACTCGACCTGTTTCTAAGCTGCATTTTACACTTTTCCAAAAACAACAATCTGTAAAACCATTCGTATTATAACCTTCCCAATCAACCAACAATTCGCCATTCGAACTCATTATGTTTGCTTGCAGCTCCAAGAGAGCACTTCTCTCTTCCACCCAACAACCATTGGCCACTATCACCATTTGAAAAAACATCAACAAGAAAAACTTAATATTTCCCATCCCCACTATGAATCTACTTTCTTTTTTGGCAATCTAATTTGCTAGCTAACGGAATGTTTATATAGGCACTATACAGCCAGGGGCAGAATTATAGCTTTTGTTTACGGATTTAGAACAACTCAATAATTTTAACTTACTCTATTTAATTAAGTTCAATTTTTTAAAGATTGTATTTAGTTAGATTTTAAATTATTTTAGACTATAATTTATGTGATACATCATTTTAAAAATAGTATCTTAATTTTCTTTTCCAATTTATGAAATCAGATCATTTTTTAAAATAGTAGTAAGCGACTCATGCCATTACCAACAATATTGTTATGTTCAATATAGTTTTAATTGATGTAACGTGTTATTTACCATATTTTGCGTGTAATTCATTTTTTTTTCTTTTGCCATGCAAACTTATATTTAATTGAAATGCCAATTTAGAAAATCTTTATATCATTAATGGTATATAAATCAAACTTATTAAACAAAAGAAAACCAAAATACAAGTCAAACCCAATTTGATATTTTGTTGAGAAAGTTGAAGAGTATAGCGTGTGTGGATGGGTGGACGCAGCAGTCCAGCCGCATTGTCGAAAAATTAGTTTTTTTTTTCTGCTTTTATCATTTTATGCATTTTTAGGTAATTATCTTTTTAGTAAACAGAGAAAAAAAAGTAATTATATGCTTCAAATAAATTAAAAGAAACACTATCGAGGTTTAGTTAGAGAAAATAATCATTTGAAATGTCTAAAGTAAAATGGATAAATAAATGTGAAATGATGCTATCATCGCACAATATCCCAAAAGATATAAAGATATAATATATAAACGTATTTTTTAACTTGGTGATTTGATATCTATGTCCTTCAATTTTAAGTGTGCACGAATTGACACTTAAACTAATTGTATAGAGTTGATCATGCAAACACATGCATCATGCCTGGCGTCCTATGTGACAATTTGCATCCTATATGGTATTATATATGTATATGTCACGTAGAATGCATGTGTCTATTTATTCAACTTTATACAAGTTTAAGTCTTTATCTATACACCAAAGTTGGAGGGCACCATCGCACAAATATCAATAAAAATCAAGTTAAATGATATATTTATGTATTATGTCAAAAAATAATAAAACATACTCAATTTTGGACAAAATGACCCTACAATTAATCTAAGTTCGAATAGTTCAATTTGTGTATGACAATGTAAAGTGTGTAATTTAAGTTTGAATGGTTCAACTTGAATTTGACAATGTAAAGTGTGTAACTTATTCACATGTGAATCACCTTTAGACCCCCTAACTTTGGCGCCCCAGAATTTTCCAATATAATATTGTATTTTTATTTTATACATGATTATTCACTAGTGTGAATATTTTTTTACATTATTATATCATCTAATGAATTTCTATAGATAAATCTTTTTAGTATATGAGATTAAAATCTTAAAAATAAAATATGTACTTCTTACAACATATAAATTATGATTTAGTTGTGTAAAAATTATGTTCACCGACAATCATATGTAACTTTAACTCATAAATTTTTTTTTTTTAAAATAATATATATATATATATATATATATATATATATATATATATATTGTTTATTTAAAATATTTATTGTTTTAAGTACAAAAATATAATTTTATAATTAAAAAAAAAGAAGATAAACCATTGAGCATAAATATATTTACTAGAATATATACATTAAAATCAAAATCTGATATAACTGTTTTCACAAAATCAATATCAATGCTTACGATGTCGATGGCTTGAGGAATATCCAATTAGAAACAAAAAGAGAGAAGGATAGAAACAATTTACAACAATCAAGAAACACCCCAATTATTATAAAATACGTTTCAAGAGAGATTAAAACAATTGGATATATTAGAAATTAAAAAATAATATTATTAAAAGAAATCAATTAAAAATTATTTTTTAACAACTTTGAAGATAAAATATTAGAAAAATAGACTTCAAATGAGTGTTGATTATCTCTGATCTGTTGCCTAACTAAGTGTGGACTCTTGCAACAGTTGACATTGGAACATTTAGCACATTCCTAGCAATGGTTGAAAGTAGGGCTGGCAGCGGAACCGGTAACGGTACTATCGAACCGGCACCAACCGGAACCGGTGTCCTCCCGGCGGAAAAAGAATGGAACCGAGACGGACCGGTATCGGTAGTTCCGAAATTTATACGTTGTACCATTCAGGATCGGGACCAGACCGGGTAACCAAGATGACGATTCTTTTTTTAAAAAAAAATTAATTAATTATTAAAATTTAAAAAATAGGAAATATTTCTTTTTAAAGTCTAATTTAAAAGAAATAAATTACGAAATATTTCTTTTTAAAATTCAATTTTTAAACTTTACATCATAAAGTTTGAAACTCTAACAGTTTAAATTTCAATCTTTAAAAGTTTAAAGTTTAAATTTCAATTTTTAAAAGTTTAAATTTCAAACTTTAAAAGTTTAAAGTTTAAATTTGGGAAAAATGCATAAGCACCCCCCGGCCTATGTCCAAAATTCCTGTGACACACCTAACCTTTACTAAGGTCCTATTACCCTCCGAACTTATTTTATATGTAATTTTCTACCCCTTTTCGGCCTACGTGGCACTATCCTTGAAAAAATTGTCAACACGCGCTGGGCCCACAAGATAGTGTCACGTAGGCCGAAAAGGGGTAGAAAATTATATATAAAATAAGTTCGGGGGGGTAATAGGATCTTAGTAAATGTTAGGTGTGTCTCAGGGATTTTGGGCATAGGCTGGGGGAGTACTTATGCATTTTCTCTTTAAATTTCAATCTTTAAAAGTTTAAATTTCAAACTTTAAAAGTTTGTATTTTAAACTTTAAAAATTTAAATTTTAAAAGTTTAAATTTCAAACTTTTAATTTTTTTTTTTTAAATTTCAAATTATAACTTAAGTTTCAACTCTGTCATTTTAAAATTGAAAATATAATTAAAAAAAAGACTTTGTATTAAAATTGAAGACAATAATAAAAAACAAAAAAATTAAGGCGAGTAGCCTATAGTTTTATTAATAAAAGTTAAATAGTATAATTTGAATTACAAAATATTAGTAGAAGACTAGAGGACATAATCTACACAGCCACCTTCTAGGAAGATATTTTTTTTTTGAATTAGACCTCGAATTATCATACTTCATACTAATAGTTCATGGTACCAAACCAGTCTTTTCTTAAATCATTTAACATTTCTCTAGTAACATGATCTGGAATTGATTGATCAGCTAGTTCCTCCAATGCATCAATACTGTCATCACTAAAATCTTGCAATATTTCATCAACATCATTTTCAAATTTGGTAGGTAAAGCTGGATGCCAAAAACTCCTTCTCTCTCTATTAATCCAATCTCTAAATAATATTGATATCTCCAAGCAGTCTGTTGCTAATGAATATCTATGCTCTCCAATTTAAAATCTTGTTGCACTAAAAGCGCCTTCCGAAGCTACTGAAGATGCTTGAATAGCTAATGCATCCCGAGCCATCGGTTGAAGTTTTGGAAATCCCTTGCCACGATTGCTCCACCAATCTAGAAGGTCAGGTAAACCTTGTGAATTCTTAATTTTCTGTACACTGATTAATTTATGCATCAAAATCATTTTTATCCTCATGAGAAAGTTCAAGATAACTTTCTAGCATATCATCTTCATTATATCTACACCTAGAAGTTTCAGGTTCTTCATTATGTACTACATTTTTTCTATGAGAATTATACAAGTAATACAATTTTCTAGCTTCAATTTTTATACTATGTTTAACTGTTGTCAAGCTAGGTGTTTCAAAATCTTGAATATCTAAATTTAAATATATTTTTCAACCATTCGGATGCACCTACATCTTTGTAATGTGGGTTTAAAAAACAACCAGTTAAATAAATTTGAGGAATAGGAGAAAAAAAATTTAAAAATTTTCAATCATCTTCTTAACAGAATTTTCAAATCTTGGTTTATTTTTGAATTTATAAAATTTACTAGAAATAACACAAATATTTGGTAAAACAGAGCAAATAGTTGGATAATTAAGTCCAGAAATTTGTTTTGTAGCTAAATAAAAAACTTTTAAAAATTCTATAAGTTCTTTTACGTCATTTCAATCATTTTCATCAAGTCTATAGTCCATATTTGAATTATGAGCATCCCAAACCATTTGTAAAGGTTTTCTATATTCATAAGCGACTTGAAGCATTTCAAATAAAGAATTTCATCTAGTACACAATGATTTTGGAATATTTCTAGGGAAAGATTAAATTTACGACAACGATTTTCAAATTCTCTACGTCTAGACTTTACTTGACATTTAAAAATAAAATGACATGCAGTTTCACATATTATGCAACCATTATTATATATTGCTATACCATCTCTAACAATCAAATTATATATGTGTGCAACACACTTAATATAAAAACCATCAATATAAATAGGAAAAAGAGTCGGTTTTAGTATTTCAACATCAGATGTATTATTAGAACCATTATCTAGGCTGACACTAATTACTTTATCACAAATTCCATAGTTTTGTAAAACATCTATAATAGTTTGAGTTATGTAACTACCGGTTTTATGCATTTCACAACATTTATAACCTAAAATTCTTTTTTGCATAATCCAATTTTCATCGATCCAATGGACATTAATAGTGAAATAATCATTACCATTAACACTACGACCCATATAAGAAGTAATAGCCAATTTACAAGTATTATAATAAAATAAATAACGAAGATATTGAAAATGTTGACCTTGATAATCAAAGATGGCCTTTTTAATTGTATTTCTTGTACAACCTTTAAAATGTGGATTGTACACAATTTGAATATAATAAATAAAATTAGGATTTTCAGCAAAACTAAAAGGCAAGCCAATAACAACAATCGTTTTAGCTAATTCTTCAAGATCTTTTTCTCTACTATATTAGCGTTGTGTACTAGGCCAGAAACATTAGAAGGGTTTAATTGAGTTTGGAC